GCCTTGGAACCTATCCCTTGTCTGAAAAGGAATGACATGAGTGACAGGTGTCACTGGACCATTATCTTGCAGCTGCTTGTGACAGAGATGTGGTTCTACAGAAGGATGCTGAAGATAACATGGACTGAGTGTGTGAGAAACAATAAGGTCTTGGAGAGTATGCGAACAAGAAAGAGGCTTATACTTAACATCAGGAAGAGGCAGCTGAAGTTTCTGGGACATGTAATGAGAAAGGAGGGTCTGGAGAATCTGATACTCACAGGTTGAATAGAGGGAAGGAGAGACAAGGGAAATGAATGGATGACATACCTAGCAGGCTTGAGCAAGTGGATGACAGAATATGGTCTGGGGGAGGTGGCAGAGTAACGAAACTTATCGAGAGCTACAAGGGATAGGGAGGAAGTGGAGAGCCATGATCGCCTACGTTCTGAAGTGAGACGGCACATAAGAAGAAAGAAGAACAGGATGTAACAGTTTCTATATATTCTTTGTTATATGAAAAAAAATGATGGAAAAAATTATTGTTTTTTTGGTGGTCGGGTGTTGTAGAGTGAGTGGCCATGGTTAAATGTAAAATGTCAGAACTGTTCAAAAAACAGAATTGACAAAGTTTTCAATAAGAAACAAGAAAATAGAAAAAGAAAAGAACAGACCAAGAAATAATATAAAGCAACAGTAATAAGGTAAAGCAACAGTAATAAGGCAAAGCAACAGTAATAAGGTAAAGCAACAGTAATAAGGCAAAGCAACATTTATATGGCAAAGCAACAGTAATAAGGCAAAGCAACAGTAATAAGGCATAGCAACATTTATATGGCAAAGCAACAGTAATAAGGCAAAGCAACAGTTATATGGCAAAGCAACAGTTATATGGCAAAGCAACAGTTTTATGGCAAAGAAACAGTTTTATGGCAAAGCAACAGTAATAAGGCAAAGCAACAGTAAAATGGCAAAGCAACAGTAATAAGGAAAGCAGCAGTAATAAGGCAAAGCAACATTTATATGGCAAAGCAGCAGTAATAAGGCAAAGCAACAGTAATAAGACAAAGCAACATTTATATGGCAAAGCAACAGTTATATGGCAAAGAAACAGTTTTATGGCAAAGAAACAGTTTTATGGCAAAGCAACAGTAATAAGGCAAAGCAACAGTAAAATGGCAAAGCAACAGTAATAAGGAAAGCAGCAGTAATAAGGCAAAGCAACATTTATATGGCAAAGCAGCAGTAATAAGGCAAAGCAACAGTAATAAGACAAAGCAACATTTATATGGCAAAGCAACAGTTATATGGCAAAGAAACAGTTTTATGGCAAAGAAACAGTTTTATGGCAAAGCAACAGTAATAAGGCAAAGCAACAGTAAAATGGCAAAGCAACAGTAATAAGGAAAGCAGCAGTAATAAGGCAAAGCAACATTTATATGGCAAAGCAGCAGTAATAAGGCAAAGCAACAGTAATAAGGCAAAGCAACATTTATATGGCAAAGCAACAGTTATATGGCAAAGAAACAGTTTATGGCAAAGAAACAGTTTTATGGCAAAGCAACAGTAATAATGCAAAAGCAACAGTAAAATGGCAAAGCAACAGTAATAAGGAAAGCAGCAGTAATAAGGCAAAGCAACATTTATATGGCAAAGCAGCAGTAATAAGGCAAAGCAACAGTAATAAGGCAAAGCAACATTTATATGGCAAAGCAACAGTTATATGGCAAAGAAACAGTTTTATGGCAAAGAAACAGTTTTATGGCAAAGCAACAGTAATAAGGCAAAGCAACAGTAAAATGGCAAAGCAACAGTAATAAGGAAAGCAGCAGTAATAAGGCAAAGCAACATTTATATGGCAAAGCAGCAGTAATAAGGCAAAAGCAACAGTAATAAGGCAAAGCAACATTTATATGGCAAAGCAACAGTTATATGGCAAAGAAACAGTTTTATGGCAAAGAAACAGTTTTATGGCAAAGCAACAGTAATAAGGCAAAGCAACAGTAAAATGGCAAAGCAACAGTAATAAGGAAAGCAGCAGTAATAAGGCAAAGCAACATTTATATGGCAAAGCAGCAGTAATAAGGCAAAAGCAACAGTAATAAGGCAAAGCAACATTTATATGGCAAAAGCAACAGTTATATGGCAAAGAAACAGTTTTATGGCAAAGAAACAGTTTTATGGCAAAGCAACAGTAATAAGGCAAAGCAACAGTAAAATGGCAAAGCAACAGTAATATGGAAAGCAGCAGTAATAAGGCAAAGCAACATTTATATGGCAAAGCAGCAGTAATAAGGCAAAGCAACAGTAATAAGGCAAAGCAACATTTATATGGCAAAGCAACAGTAATAAGGCAAAGCAACAGTTATATGGCAAAAAGTTCACAAACTAAGAATTGAGGTTAGCACACTAGAGCACATTGGGATGAATGGCAACATTCTGACAACATTCAAGACTGACCGGGACTAAGTCAGATGACATCAACAACTGGCCTTTCTTATGGGCTAGGAAGAAATCCCAGCATGCATTTATGCACTTCTGTCAATAAATTGGGAAGGGGAAAGTATTTTGCAATTATTCTTAATTGGATTGGAACCAACATGGTTAAAAGAGATTTTGGAGAATGGATATCAAAAAACAACAAGGCACACTGTAAAAAAAAAATGTCGAGAGATACTTAATGAGATATAAAACAAAATCAACTTTATTAAAATAAAATGAAAATATAAATATTAGTGATATAAATATTAGGGATGCACAAATTTGGTGGTTTGTGCATCCAGAAAAGCGGGTAAGATATTCCTTAACAATTAACTTATTTTTTCTAAAATAATGCTCAATTGTATTAGTGGGAAAAGGATAAAGTTTAAAATCAATATCAATCAAATAACATGAGATATTACAAGAAAAATGCCAGCATATACAAAATAATGTAAATGACAAAGAAGGTACAATAACAGGGTTTCAGTGAGGTTGAACCCAGTTAAAATGTATATTTACCTTGAAGGTCATTTATATGCCATGTGTGATATATGCTTAGGCAATCATGCATCTTATGATACATGACTGAGGAGGCAGATTTTTTCCTGCAGTAGGTTGCCATTTCTTTCTGTGGTAGACCAATTGCCATCCATGGCTATAGAACCTGGTCTGTCTTGCTATTTACCCATAACAGTGGGGAAAAGTAGAGGATTCATAACTTTCCGAAGGGTATTAGCACATAAGTGAATTTAATGGATTCGACTCAAATTAAAGCCACTATCCATTACTCCACCTATTATCTTGAAGGCATAAAATATGCATGTTCTCAATAGTTCTTGTGAGTTGTCGAAGCATGTGACAGAATCTGTTCATGCCTTCAGAGTTTTCAAAGTAGAGCATTGTTTTTCAAACAGTACTTAATGTCTGTCATGAAAACGACTATTTCGATACAATAATTTGGGTTAAAACAAGACTTAATTCTGTTATGAAGACAATAATTTGGTTGTCAAAACTTAATTGAGGAGTGGGTTTTCGCAGCCATTCAATCGGGTTTGCAAATGTTTTTAGAAGGCATTGTGTCTCCTTACTCGTCCATGGCATGTCTACTGCTCCCCCATGTCAGGTCACCTACTAACCAGTGCCCATTGCATCTCCTCCTGCTGTTGATAGTCATATTGCAGGGATTTTTATAGCCAAAAGGTCGGCTATAAATTATTTGAAAAATTTTGGCAGTCAACACAAACATTTCAGATTTCAACTGTCTTGAATGAATAGACATTGGTTAAAAAGGCACGTTTATTGTAGCATGAAAAACGCATCTGTTTTTCTTTCCTTTTTCTTCACTTTTCATTTGACCCTACCTCCACCTCCACTATGTCAAAGATCTTTGCACACAGGTGGTCAGGGTTCAGGTTTCAGTAAATAATTTTATTATCTTCATCCTTTCCCTGAAACTACCATGAGATGAAATTTACTCATAGTGAAAAAATCATTTTTAACACTTAAACCAGCTTGCTACATCCAATTGCAAAGTTTACTCCTTCATCTTTTTGCTTGTATAGGCGACATTTATTATTCCCTGGGTTTTGGCTATATTCATTTTGACATAGTTTGTGATGATGCTTTTGTTCTGGATGATGATGATGATGATGATAAAGGATTCTGTTTCTTTCTTCAAGTTTCCTCTACATAATAATGTCCATTATTTTTTGTCTGCAATATTTTTTTACCTGCCACTTAAATTTTCCATGAAGCTTTTTGTTTCTCCATTTTCCTTTCATTGTCACCCCCGCCCCACCGTTGTCATTATTTTATTACTTGTTGCATTGGGTCATGATCATCATTATTATTTTAATAATGCTTCCCATTTTACATATAGTAGAACCAAGTTAAAAATGATAATAGCAATCTAGGAGAAACGGTATTTGATTAACAGTATTTTTTGTACTATGGAGGTTGTTATATGTGAAATGTAGGCTGTTACATGTGAAATGTAGGCTGAAACATGTGAAATGTAGGCTGTTACATGTGAAATGTAGGCTGAAACATGTGAAATGTAGGCTGTTACATGTGAAATGTAGGCTGAAACATGTGAAATGTAGGCTGTTACATGTGAAACATATTTCTGGACATCATAGGTGTTGATGTTTCTTGTAATACTGATGCTGAATTTTTTCTCCATGAGTCCTAGTGCTCCTATGACCACTGGTATTATTTCAATCTTCATCCTGTTGATCTCAACTTTTGTACTTGAATAGCAACATTTTTTTTAAATAACATATTGATTTGGTTTTTAACAACTTTGCAGGTCATTTAAAGCCAGAAAATATGTTTAGATTGTAATAATTTTTATATTTTGTAAATGATAATGATTTAATGATACAAGTCTTTTCTAATTAACCCATAGTTGGGGGAGAAGAGGGGATTCATACCTTTCCAAAATATATTTGTGCAGAAGTAAATATAAAAACTCAACTGGATTTGACTCCCCAATTATTAATTCTGAGCAATTCTCCATGACATCAACTGTACATCCAAGTTTACAGTACCTGGTATTCCCAAGCAGTCACCCATCTAGGTACTGACATTGCTTAACTTTGGTGATCATACGGGAATTGGTGTTTCAGTGTGATATGGCCATAAGCCCTGAATTTCATACTGGATGTACATCTTTTGGATAGTATTGCTATATCAAGAGTCTATACAGCGTGGTATTACCCCACTTGTCTGCCAAAGAACATCTGCTAACATCCACTAGATATCATTGCCAAAGCAGTATATATGAAAAGGGTGGAAAATCTCATTCATTTTCATTCCCTTACACTGCAGGACGATTTAGAGACAAGATAACTTTGTCCTCATATCTCAACAAACCTCATTGTGCATTGAATACAACAAAAAATGGTACACAACCTACAATTTTGTAAAATTGACTTACACAAGTTTATCTAATTAGTGTACCAGCCTAGATTGAGCTCACAAGTGTCCATATAGACTTGTGTGTGATGAATTATTTTCCACCATGCAATTCTTTTCCCACAGATGAAACATTGCTAACCTGTCATGACTGTACAGCTATTTTCATGGCAAATATCCAGGCAGGCTGCATTCATTATTTTCTACCGTTCAGACCTTCATAGCTAGGATCCAACATGCCACACGCACAGACTTGAACCATCCTCATTCCTTTCATATTCCCTTGCTAAGAAGAAAGTTCCCCCTCAGGCAACTTCTGCTCCAGAACTGTTACTTTGTGGAACAGACTCTTGAGAGGATGCTTCTCTGAACACCACAATCTTAATCTATTCAATTCTAGAGCCAGTCATCATCTTATCCTATGACATATTCTCATATTAGGCATTTCTTACTTCCTCCATGCATGCCTTTACAGTGACATCATCCAGTATTTCTCCACCTTAGATGACTCTTAGGTATTGTCTTTCACAACCTTTCTTAGGAACTTTACACACCCATGCATATGAAAAACAAAATCTCTACACACACAGATATAGGCACACAACTTCATCCCTTTTTTGTATTCTTTCCATTAATTTTTGCCAAGACAATAAAATATGTTGTTCTTAGTTGTATACAATTGTTGTACATTCATTCTTCCTGTTTGAGAAAAGTCCAATGCATCCTATCATATCAACACATATTACTTTAAGAACTTTTCATTTTCTCCTTGATAATGATGTCAAGCTTGTTGACTTTCATCTTTCTGTCTATATTGATGAACCATCCCAAACAATAGAGACATTGTTGTCCCCAGTGAATGTATTTGGCTGATGTTCATCCCAATTTTTAGTGGTTATGATTTTTTAACGACTGCAGATCTCTCAGTGTGGTTATTTCACAACCTTCATGTGTCTGAGTAGCTACTTGGTCTTTACCATTTGTAGGAATTATGTTAGTTATGCTAAAAGTTCCTAAAATTTGACCAAAAATCAAAATTTCTGATAGGAAAATGTTTCTTGGTCAGACTGAGAAATTTTCAAATATATGAATATTATTATTGTTTCGGCAGCCATTATCCTCTTAGTTGGTTGTCATGTTAAAACTGATCCAATGCTGTATGAAGCCAATAAAAGCAATATCGTCTTCTCAGAAAGAATGGCCTCAGGGAAAAACAAATTTGTCTAAAAGGTGCCAACAATTTGTGGAGTGGAATATTTTAATCAATTATTATTTTGGTATATGTCCGAAAAACCTCTTTGTGCCTTGCCAAATATTGTAAACGAAATTTTCCTTTTTTTTTTTTTAAATCTCTTTCTTTCTTTCTTTCTCTCTATTTTAAAAATCAGTAAGGAATGCTCAACTGAGATTTTTTTGGAAGGCTCTTAGATTTTAAACACAATAATGTTGTGTCTTTGTTTAGTTTTTACCTATGCCTCATATTGTAAACATGTGTTGTCTTTTGCAAATGATATTTGAAAACATTGATAGCAGAAAAATAACTGTATGGTGGCAAAAAGATATAAATTAAAATTGTGCCATTATCAACATATATTTTTTATATGTTGGAATATTTTACAGCTGTTGTTTGCCATTGCTTTGTGTCATATTTTTAACATTTCTACCCATAATTATTATATCTGTATACAATTATTATATCTTCATATAATTATACAGTGCTTTATGAATAAGAGCTAATAAACATGCTTACTTTTTATTTATTCTGATATTTTACAAAAGTTGTTTAACATTTTTATATGTGATTCTAATAATATTTCTTAAAACAATTAATATAATTATATATTGTAGAAAAATGTATGACAAAGTGGATATCTAATAACAAAAATAATGAAAAGAAAAAGAATTTAAGGGAATCAGCTAGATAAAAAAAAATTCCCAGCATGTGTAGTCATAACAACATAACAAATTTAGCTTGATGATGTTCTAAAGGATGAAAGACGTCACACAAAAATCTTTTCCACTTTGTCATACATTTTTCCCCAATATTGTTTTTGATATATAATGATATATATCATTATCTCATAATTATATATAAAAGACTGATGTTGAGTCCAGACAAAATAGTATAGACTAGAAAGATTTTCTTATTTGAATTTTCTGACGAATCTTCTTAAGTTAAGTATTGAATAAGTTGATGGCAAGTTCTACAATAATAAAATATCTATAGAAATTTGCCTATCACAACATTAAATATTTGAACTTAACAACTTTAACAAAATATTGCAATCACAATCATAACTATGAATGCTGATTGTTATTTTAAGAAGTGGGTACAAATAAAAAGATTTGAAATTGACAACTTTTTTCGCTTGACTTACATAGACTTTAAACACTTCTATTTTAACCTTCTTTCTTTCTTTCATTTTCTCACTGAAACCAAGTAGTATTTTTCTAAGTAATCAAAAAGCCCATTATTTATGAGGTACTGGCAGGAGATGTTAAACACTTCTATATTCCCTTGTTTCATTCTAGCCAAATCCTCATCTTATAAACATTTCTCCTAATAATAATCTTAAAATACTTGAACACACAATGTTATTTTATTTATGATAAGTGGATTGGCCATATAAAACCTCCTGATCAAACAGCAAAAATATGCTTTCAAGTTTAAATTCATTGAACTTTTTTTGTATCTATTTCGAAATTATTAGGATACATGTGTGGTCCTTAATGAACTACTAAACCATTCCTGTTATCTGCCTTCTTGGCTTGATTTCTGAAGTACTATTACATTTACTTTGCAAATACAGTTTAAGTTCAATACATTTTTAGTAGCATTTTGTATTTATTTCAAAATTACTGAGACATAAATGTGGTTCTCAATGAACTGCTAAAACATTTCTCTTATCTGCTTTCGTCTTGTACTAAATTTACTTTTCAAATAGATTTTAAATTTGTTTCCAAATTTGATTAGAATCTTGTATCTATTTTAATTACCATTCATTGTAAGCATTTTTAGTCAAATCAAAATTTTTATCAACTTAGCCTTCTTTAATTAATTTAATATTACTTCCTATTCCTGCTCAAAAGGATTAATTTTAAAAGAATTCTTTTTATTTAGGTACAGACAAATTAATTCTAAAAGAATAATTTATTATGAGATACATGTGTGATTCTGAAAGAACTGCCAGATTATTTTAACTGACTTTCTGGTTGAGTTGACTTCCCAGATTTGTAAATATTCTCCATGAAGATAGTACATATTCACTGGAATTTGAGTGGTTTATTTCTGGTGGAAGGTAACCTTGACATATTTGGGGAGGTTATTAAAATAATGCATAACCTATATGGCAGCAAACCAAGAGCATATGGACAGAAAATGAATTCTGTAAATACATGAAAAATAGGAAGCAATATTAAACAAGGATGTATCTTCTTATTGGACTTATTCAATCTATACAGTGAGGCAATTCTGAGAGAACTAGAAGTCCTACCAGGATTCATTATTGGCAGCCAGGATCTTAATAACATAAGATATGCTGATGACACAATGTTCCTAGCAGACATAGAAAGGAAATTACAAGAACTCCTACAGAAGTTAGTAAAGTAAATTGAGAAGAAAAGACAAAATATCAATTATATGAAGAATGAATCTAGCACTGTCAGCTGAATGAAGAGAAGCAATATGTAAATTACAAATTGGAGATACCAAAACCAAACAAGTATAACAATTTACATATCTGGGAAATGTTTTAACAGAGGACGGAAAGTGCGACATGAAATTTGAAGGTGCTTGTGGACAGCAAAAATGCCTTCCAAAAGCTAAGTAAAGTATTCAGAAAAAGGAAAATTCTGTTAGAAAGAAAGTAAAGAGTACTGAACTGTTATATAATATCAGTTTTTCAATATGTCAGTGAATGCTGGAGAAGAGATTTGAACAAGAGAAATGTGGTTCTACAGAAGGATGTTGAGAATGACATTGACCAAATATATGAACAATGACAAATTTTTAGAGAAAATGGAATGAAAACAGACTCTTATACTTAACTTCAGGAATAGATAGTTGAAATTTCTAGGGCACATAATGAGGTAAGAAGACTTGGAAAACTTGATACTCACAGGATGGACTGAAGGCCCCACAGGGATAAAGGGAAACAACACATAATCTACCTAGAAAAATTGAGTAAATGGATAGAAGAAGAAGAAGAAGAAAAAGAAGAAGAAGAAGAAGAAGAAGAAGAAGAAGAAGAAGAAGAAGAGGGAGGAGGGGGAGGATTAGGGTTGGAAGAAGAAGAAGAAGAAGAAGAAGAAGAAGAAGAAGAAGAAGAAACAGCAGCAGCAGCTTGAATAAATGGAAGGTTTAGGTGTGATAACAGAAAAACAAAATGGTGGAGAATCATGATCGCCAATATTCTGACTGGATATGATATATAGAAGAAAAGGAAAGAATTCATTGTTAGAATTGTCAGCAAAAGAGTATTTCCAATATAAGACCTGGAAAAAAAATAACTCACAGGAGGTAAAATGAATTGAGCAATTTGGTTTTCATCTGCGTAAGAATTGAGATTTCAGTTCACAAATTTGGTATGACAAGCAAGTGGTTTTAAGCTCAAAGCAATTATTATAAATATGAAACTGCACAACTGACTGGCATGCATTTAAATAGGAGGCAACCATGTTCTTTTTATCCTCTCTGTAATACACAAAGGATTAAGCACAACCAAAAG